CTTGAACCTATATGGGATACGATATGCATAGTAAAGACTAACTTTATTTATTCATATTGGATTCAATTTCAAGGGAATAATCCGAAATTTTTATTATAAAGAAATTTGGAAATAGCCGTTGCAAAAGTGCATCCGCTGCTTTCTTTCTTTTGATTGATGTCGAAGACGAGGCTTTAAATAATTAATTACATTAAAATAGTTATATTTTACAAGTAGTTCGTCCACTCGTACGTAGATTATTTAACAATAAACATAGATTATGTGCAAATGTCATCAAATATGCTGCAAAACTTGAATTGTTTGTTGTTTTGACCAGATTGATAAAAAAAAAAATGAATATAACACTAGCGGGTATTTATTACTAATTTTAAACGACAATCGATATTTAATATTAACTTGTTAAATTATTTTTTAATGGGCATGACAAATTTTCTCAAGATACAATCAGTAGAATAAGCTTCATAAAGAAAAGAAACAAAGTTTAAGACTTTTAAAGTACATGATTGACAAGAGGTTTGGATTTGTTGTTTCCACCGTCTTTTATGGTGATTATTTTTAGACGATTATATTTTATTTAAAAATTTTTTACGTGGATTTATTGATCAAGCAACGAATCACATCACTTGCTATACACTCATCATTTAACTAGTTTCGAGTCCAAGAAATATTACCATTTTGTCTGAGACAAGTGGCCTAAGAGATATTGAGATTCAATGGTGGTGCCATCAGTGAATAGTTATGTGACAATGCTTGCACTCTAAGTGCATCATTGACAAAAATGTTTTGATCATTATGCGCATTCCTCGAAAGGGCCACTTCATTACCATCACATAGCAACCCGATTTAGTCTGTGTGGATAATTCCGTCGTGTTTCGATATTTAATCGATGCTCAAGAGTAGTTTTCTATCAGTGGACAGTTGTATGGCAACGTAATGCATCGTTAGAAAGATGGTATGATCAGTAGGCGCACTTTTTCGAATGGTCCATGTATCCAGCATTCTGCTATTCAACATATGAAAGGCATACGCAACCATATTTGAGTTTTATTCAACGCCTCCTCAATAACAAAATGTAAAAAAAATTGATCCCGGGAAAATTCTGGGGATCTGAATGCAATGAGGGAGTACGCAGATCTTAGGCCATTTAATGCGAATTCTACCTAGAAACAAGTTATTTCTTGCTCTCTCAGACTTTCGAAAAATTTATACAATAAATTTATTCTTTAACTATAGTTGACTTGGGATATTCCAGTCCACATATCTTTCGTCTATTATATGCATTATGATTTTCTTAGTCATTATTAATCATTTACATCACAAGATTACGAATATCATCTAGGGAAGATTAATTTTTCTATTAAAAATAACCGAATTGATTTAATTGATTTCGGGTTGTTGAAAAAATGGCAAAGATGGGCCAGCAAATATTTCAACAGCCACAAAGCCATCTCAGTTACTTAGTCCAATAGGCTATAAAGAAATTTATATTTGGCACTGATTTTATCAATAGTTCTTTTGACCTTGTCGTTTGTGCGCTACGGAGTAAGTTTATCGAAATTTTGTTTTCGATTTTTTTAATCAAAGATGTATATACGGTAATAGGAAATGAATAGTATTAGAAATTCAGATTTAAAATAAATAAATTTATTTATTTTTACTGTACATACTATAATTAAATTTTTAACAATCAATGTTGTAATTTAAATAGAATATATACTAATATCTTCCTTTATTTTTTAATAATAAAATAAGCTGAAACTCTTCTTTCTATTTTAAAGCAATACTTAAAAAAATTTTTTTAAAAAATCTTTTTAATATTAATAATTAAATAAAAATCAAGCAAAAAAAATCTTTTTAATAATTAAATAAAAATCAAGCAAAAAAAAATTTTTTTTAAATAAATATAATTTATAATATAAATAGTATACAGTAATTCTTTTTGAAATTCTTTTTGAAAACTTTTTGTTTAAATATGAAATATTTTATTGTTCATTTTTAACTATAATACAACATATCTTTAATAAAAAAAATTTTTTTAAAAAAAATTAAATATACTTAATAATAATTATTATTTTGATAACTTCAATTATTTATTTATTTGAATATATATATATATATATAAACATTTGTAAGAGAATTTATATCTCCCAGTCAGATTGAGTTAAGTTAAATATCAATTTATCGAAATTGCGATTTAAATTATATTAAAAAAAAAACTTTTAAGCTATGTTATTTAGATCGAATATATCAAACGATAAATTTAATAAGAACAAGAAGAAATTTAAAAGAAAAAAAATTTCTTTAATGTATTAAAAAAATAAAATTTAATATTCATAATGTAACAAAATTTATGAATTATTATCGTGCCATGTTGAAATAATCTTCTTTTTAAATAATAAAAAAATGTGACATGTGTTATATTAAAAAATACGATTAAAACAATTTTAAATAAAACTATTATATGATTAAAAAAAATTAATTTTGAAATCGTTAAATACAAATTATTAAAATCAAAGTGTTTCGTGATAGAAAAGAATAAGGGTAATTAATTTTTTGAAGACGGACAAGAATTTTTTTGAACTTTTGTGGTTGTGATCCTAAGAATTCATTATATTGTACATACGTATAATTTAAAAAATAGGAAATGAAAATGATATTCCCACTTTGTCGCTTTCAAAGATAACTGCCCATATACATATCTATTGTACATGAGTTTGTACATGATATATTTATTTATTTTTATAATAATGAAATATATTTATTAGTATTGAATAATAATAATATATCATACTTTAACGATATGCTGTGAATTAAAGAATCAATTTATTTTGACCACATGACAATCGCATTACCCTGTCCACACAAACGAGCAGGTTGTCTTATTATTTATAATACCCCCGCATCATTGAAAGTACAATCCCTTTTAGTATATTTAAATGAATCGGCAAATTTATTATTCTTTTCGGTGAAAATTTGTTACACTCGATGTACTGAGCGCAGATATGATGTATTAATTCCCCGCAAATAACCGTGGGAACTTTTACATGCAGTACATATCTGCAAATCATCGTGAGAAATATATAAAAATTCTAGGTATTGCATTACTTTTCCACCAAAAGATGACTTCTTACACTAACAACGGTCCAAAGCTTGATAATGCAAATTACGAAGGATTCGGTGAGTTTTTGATTTATTCATTTGTAAATAGTTGGGTAGTGATTAATGCTTCCCGTTGCGCAATAGATCATGTCAAGTTTTGGGTCGGGAACGCTAAACAAGGTAAATTTTAAGATTTAACTCATTTTCGGATTCGAATATTCCTAATTTCTGAATCTTATTTTCAGCCGCTTCATATTATTGTACACGATTGGGCTTCAAGCACGTCGGTTACCAAGGGCTCGAAAATGGATCTCGAGAAGTCGTTTCTCACGCCGTTCGACAAGGCGACATCACATTTGTTTTCCAATCCCCACTAAATCCCAACAATAAAGTAATGGGTTATCAGCTAAATCTCCATGGTGATGGTGTTAGAGATGTTGCCTTCACCGTGGATGATGTTCGAAGCCTCTACAAAAATATTATAGCGAGAGGTGGAAAATCCATTCGAGAACCATGGGAAGAAAAAGATGAAAACGGAGTAGTAATAATGGCTACAATCGGTACCTATGGTGATACTGTACACACTCTTGTAGAAAGAAGTCACTATCGTGGCGAGTTTCTTCCGAATTTCAAGCCGTTTAATTGCAAGGACCCGTT